TCATCGGGTTAAGTGTCTAAACCTGATGACCTTCAAAGAATTAGTGTAGCTAGTGTAAGGTTGACAGATATTGGAAAGAATTTTTGTTACCTGCATGCATTCCTTTTATGTAGATCATGCTATGTAACTTCAAAATTCTCTCCTCTGCCTCAATAACTTTAAATTATGCAATCTTTCGGTTGTACTTGAGTGGTATCTCAGAATAGTGATTGAATAAACCATTTGAATGCTTGTTTTTATATAAGATCTTGTAATAAAGATGTCTTACTTCTCCGTGACGTTATTCTTAAAGGCAGTCATCATAATCATTTCATTACATTTAAATGAATTTTAAATTTTACTTTGAAAAATGTAGAGTAATCGCTGAAATTAAAGAAATTTTCCTTTTTGAGGTTTTCGTTGATTCCAAGAATTGCTGAATCAGAAAGTCATGAGGTTATTATTGGATGGGTACCAGCAGACTAATTAGAAAGTTGTAAAAATAAATTTTTATATATAGCTTAATTTCAGTAGATTAAAACTGACAGAGTGCTGTTGGTGTTTTTAGAGTATTTTTGGTCAACTGTTCTTAACACTTGCACTTATGAAATGGGCAATATTTGGAATTTTATTTCTCAATCTCGCAAATATTGGCCGAACTAATGAGAAGATAACTATAACTGATTTCTTAATTGATACAAAAAAGCACAAACGGAATAAAATTAGAATCGATGAAAGGTTGATACTGGATGACTAAACTTTCACGCAGTTTACGAAACACTGTATTAACCCCTTTTTTATCCTTTCCAACAAACTCTTCATTGAAAATCTAGAACATAGAACGAAGAGAATAAGAGTTCAAGGATCTGTTTTGTTATTTGTTTGATAGAACGTTTTTCGAGAGAATACCTTGTGCAATTAAGGAAGTTTTCTCCCAATTGGTTTCCGCCGTTTTTGTTCGATTCAATGATTTCTCACACAGCCTATTCTTGTCGACACATCTTTTATTTCTAAATAAAAGAGCAATAATTCTTTAGCCATTGCAAAGTTTTGATTTCGGCTTTGTTTTGAAGAAAAAATCTTTAGTGTATGGGGATGTTGAAAGAAAAATTTCCCGACGCGCCATTATGTTGTCATGTAAGATTTGTTGCATTGTTTCGAATACAATGTTTATTGGCACTCAATTTGTTTATTCTTCAAATCACGGGGCACTTTTTGAAACAAACAAAATTTAGAAGCTGCTGATCGAGTATTAACTCGGGTAAAATAAAGCGCAATCGGCCGAGAAATTCGATCTTAAAAAAAATGGGGAATTTCATTTACGTTTCAGAACGAAATGAGTTTTTTTTTATCTTATATTAGGCAAAATATGTCCCATGAAGATCCTGTAGCTGCAGTAGCCTTGTGGTCACGGTTTCGGACTCGCGACCGGCGGTTTTCGTTCGGTCGTGGGTTCGATCTTTGGCCGCTAAAGACCCGCCGTGTATTCGGGACTGATGCACTTTAAATCTGTCAGGGCCCAAATTCCTTCCGTTAGAGTGGTGTAGAAGTCGGGAGAGGGGATGCCAGCTCAGGTGTCATCCTCGTCACTTGACCGTGGTTCAATCCGTGATCCGTCGCCAATAGCCCTTGTGTTTCTTCTAGTGCGATATTAATAAAAACTAAACTAACCCATGAAGATCCTGGATCATCAATAACCAAGCAAGGTTTTAGAATTTCAATTGATCAAATTAATAGTTTTTATTCAAAAATTAACTCAAGGATTCGAAGCTTTCCAAGTAAAGGACTGGAGATATCAAGCCGTTCTCCTAAGAGGACGTTCATTCAAAATCTAAGGCCACGGTAGCCTAGTGGTCCTGGTCGCAGACTCGCGACCGGCGGTTTTCGTCGAGTCGAGGGTTCGAGCCTTGAAAAGTCCACCGTGCATCCGGGGCTGATGCACGTTAAATCTGTCGGAGCCCGAAGGCATGGTGTAGAGGTTAGGAGAGGGGTGTGCAAGCTCAAGGGAGACAGTAAGCTAACTATACTGGCCCCCCCCCCCCAAACGTCTAGATCATAGTTACACTTCTTAGCGCAACATAGCCACATGTGCCTCTTACGTCATTCGACATCATCATCATCACTCGCTCGTCTCTCAGTAATGTTGAACATATTTTCATTTCAAAAGATACAAATTTTTTATGTCGCTATTCATTTTTCCGCTTACCTGATTTCACTTTTTTTTTTTTTTTTTTGCCGATACCTTTACTCTCGCAGGAAAAAAAAATTGTGAAAATATTTGCTCAGTAGAAACGACATGGGACCATTCTTTCAAGTCGCTATAAAAGAAACATTATTCAAAATTTTCAGTGAAATGTTCAAGAACAATAGAATCGAAAAAACGAATGTTACACAATGGGATATAGACACCATGCGGCATTTTGGTGAGAAAAAAAACTATTTCATTTGTCAAATGACATTGTTAACGTGGAAATTTTCGAAAAACTTGTTCAGAATCGCTCTTATGCTGGAAAAAGTAGTTTTTTTCCAAAAGACTAATGGGCTAATCGAAAGGAAGATATATCTCAATTCGCTTGAAATAACTTGCGTAAATCATCCTACACGAAAGATGTTAATATTTACTAATTTTTTTAAATATCGAAGTTTAGTATAGCACAAATTTAACATTTGTTAACGGGATTTTGTGTTTGTCTTGCGCAACGTTGAAGTCGCTCCAAATTCGTCTCAAATTTGTTATCTTGGTACAGTTTATAGCTTTTTCGATAGATTTTAAGCTCATTTTTAAATGTTTGTAAATATATCCATTAGACGAATAAAAAAAAAAATTATGATATAATTATATTTTCCGAAATCTTATCAATGAGATGTGACGTTTTTACTAATTGCTGTCCTTAAAATCCCAATGCTAAAGACCGCGGTAGCCTAGTGGTTAAGGCATCGGACTGGCGATCGGTGGTTTCGTTGAGTCAGTGTCATCTAGGCTCGTGAGTTCGAGACAAGATGCCACTGAAGACCCGCTGTGTAGCCTGGGCTGATGCACGTTAAATCTGTCGGGGCCAAAGTCCTCCAGACGGGCGTGGTGGGGAAGTTAGGAGAGGGGTGCCAGTTAAGGTGTCGTCCTCGTCACTTGACCGAGGTTCAAATTTATGAGGTCCGTCGCCAATAGCACTTTTTTAGCTTCTAGTGCGACGTTAATAATATCTAAACTAAAAACCAATATTAAAGACGTGTTATTTAGATAGAAATAAGATCCTAGAACTTTTGCTTCTTTAAGGTTACTTGTAACAAATTGAGGCCCCCCTAAATATCGACTCCCTCTCCTTTCCTTCCTGAGAGAGGTTCAAAAATCACATCACAAGACACCCTAGCCCGTTCACTACCAGCGTATCATATTTGATACGCTCACGTTTGCTCTCCTGTGCCCTGCGTATCACTTTAGATATGTTCCGTGAGTGTCTTCTACGGCCTAACGTATCAATAGAGATACGCTTGATGAGAACGTTTTATTTGATTTTTTTAATGTTACTATATGGTGTTACAATACCGCGAAATCTATATTGATAGGTTATTTGAAATGTTAACCTTGGTGATATGGGGTTGGATTTCACTTCTGGCTATCAAGAGGGGGGGGGGGGGAATTGTTAAAAGCACGTACTGCAGCGCGGCGCTTTGTATGTAATGGTATGATTTAAAGTGTGCACTTCATTTGGTTTGCTTTTTTCTATCTTGCTTTCTTAGAAGTTCGAATGAGAATTTATGGATGTTTATGGGAGTTAGGGCTTTTAGAAGCAGATGCTCCCAGCTGTTCGTTTCATTCGCTCGGTTTTTATTTAGAGCGACAGTCATGACGAAAAGAAAGTATATATCTGATTCTGAGGTATGCAAATTAATGAATCTGACAGTAATGTTAGCTAAAATAATTCGAATCTGTACATAGTCATTAAATGAAAAAAAAAAAAAAGAACGAAGATGTGCCCTTTGCTCAAAATCTTGCGTGAAGCGTCAAAAGTTGACAAAATATGTGTATAAGACATGTGACGTTGGACTATGCGTTTAGGAATTTTTTCTTATAAAAATGCCAAACAGCAAAATAAGATTCATTTTTTATATCTTAATATTCCATGTAATGGTACATCATTACACCATGAAATTTATGTAACAAATGTAAGTATATTTTGTATTTTCTTAGAAGATATGATTTTTTTATGTAATAATTTTATGGAAAACACATACAATTTTTGATTAAATCCTTTTTTCTTTCGTATATATTAAGTTTAATGCATTTTAAATAAGATACGTAAATACCAAAATATTCTAATGAATAGCAGATTTCAGAGGAATTTTTTTCGTGAATTAGGCTTAGTATCTAAAATCGTCTGGGCACAGCGCGACACTTCGCGGTAAGAAGCCGTGGGCCCAGAGAAGCTCTTCTTTCTCCCTCCGGTAGAGAAAGGGCTAGTTATCTTTTTTATCCTGGAGTTTACTCTTTGATAGACACACATAACGCAACTTCGGGATATCCTATCGATCCTTTATTTTCGATCTTCTTTGTCACACTTTTTTCTATTTTTTTTTTTTTTTTTTTTTTTCCTTCCGTAATATCAAGTAGACCCCAACTCTCTTGCGCCATTAACTTCACTTACTCACCGTGTAATTATAATGCATATATATTCATTTTTCAAGCTGTGTTAAAGTTTTTATACTTTGAATTTTTTTTCTTCTACTTTTTACACTAGAATGTAGTTATAACGTGTATAATGTTACAGTATAACAAAAATAAAACATAGGGTATATTTTGAGGAGAAATTTAATTCTAACAGGAGTTGACAGTATGGTAAAGACACGTACATTATCCGGCTTATCCGTCAAAAAATGCCTCATTTATGAAAGAAAGCGATTACAGTTTGTAATTTAAGAAATACTTAAAGTATAGTAAAGGTTCGATTATAACTAAGAAGTAACAGATATCTGGATAAAGTTATTCTGCATATTAATTTATTTTAATATACACATTATGTGTGGCCGCGGTAACCTAGTGGTCATGGTTGCAACCGACTGTGTTCGTTGGATCGTGGGTTCGAGCCTTGATCCCACTAAAGACCCGCAGTATAGCTGGGGCTGGCACACTTGAAGCTCCAAGTCCTCCCGTTAGTATGGTGCGGGAGGAAACATGTCGAATGTCATCTTCGTCACTTGACCGAATTTCAAAATTCGATGTCCGTTGCCAATAGCCCTCGTGTTGCTTCTAATACGACGTTAATAAAACCAACTAAACGTCACTTTTTTATTTTTCATTTTTTTTTTCAATCTTCTAGATCATAGTCGCACCTTGTTTGTCGAGCATAACCATATTTAGCTGTTGCGCTATCAAATTTCACCATCACTAACAAATTGTAATCGTGTATAAAATCACTTATATTTATCCGTACACCCCATAATGTTGTATATTAAGCTTTAACGAAACAAGTGTTTTAACTATCCCTTATTTTTATATGAATAGTATACCGATATTCATCCAATGTTTAAAATATGCCAATATTTCTCAATTTCAATTACTTAAAACTATTTTAACGTAACACGGTCTTAAGGCTTGATTTGATAGACGTACAACCTAGTCGAATACTTTATTAGAGATTAGAAACATTTTTGCAACCGAAGTTTAAAATTTTTTTTCTTCTGGTATACAATTTTAATGCGACAATAATGAGAACTACAAAAGAACCTCCATGATAGGGCAATCAAAAATAGAAACTCCTTGACGTTAAAGGAGTTAATGATCAAATGAATCGCCGGAAAAGTTAACCTTCTATAAGATACTTTTATTTGCGTGTCCTGATGTGGAAAAAAAATTTAAAGAACCGTTTTAGAAATGACGTGGTCGATGTAATATTCTATGAACTTCCTTTCTACTACATTTTTTTTTCTCAGTTTTCTTTTGTTCTAAAAGTTCTGCCACGCGCCAATGACTAGCAGAAGCCACTTTCAAAAAGATTGAAATGGGAATTTCGCATGCTTAATGAATTTAAGTACCGTTTTCCGAGTATTTTTAATGGACCTGCAAGAGGTTTTTTTTGTTTGCCCTTGTGCTACTTTCTTGAGTGAAGAGATTCTAAAGTTAAATCCAGAAGTCATTTGAACATAATCATTTATCTCGATACATCTTTGATGAACTCCGAGGTCAAGGTGTTTAAGTTTTCTCGATAACAACATGCAAGTTTCTTCAATTGTGAATCATAAAAACTTAATTTTATCGCTTGTTTGTTACTTGTCAAATTTAATCAACCCAATAATTCAATTTGTGATACCCTCTCGTGTGATTTATTAAATGTTGTCAATATGAATTTTTACGAAATTTACGAACGTTTCATTAATAATCGTTTTCAAAAGTTAAGGAGACGAGTCTCCGATTGTTAGAACAAAATCCACTTTATGTTTTCAGCTTGGATTTATTTTGTGGCCGCGGTAACCTAGTAGGTATGGTCTAGAACTGGCGGCCGGGGTTGTTTCTGTCGAGTCGTGGGTGGCAAATAGACATATGCCTCTCTCCCCTCCCTCCAAGATTTTTTCTCGAAATTTAAATTTTTCAGGATAGTTATTTTATTATACTACAAGACATTTTCTGGATTTTAAATATAAAAATCTTTTCATCATGCTTAAGTTTGTTTTCATCACGAAGAGTAGTAAAAAGTATTTGAACTAAGTCAATTCGTGAGAAAAGAAGTCTTTGCTGTCTCTGAAACAGTGCCACTAGTTTAGTGTTTGTTTATGGAGAGGGGAGAGTGCATCCCTAAAAAAATGTACTGTCAAAAATGTAAATTTTATTCTCATTGTATCTCAATTATTTTTTCTTAAATGATCTTTACTTGAATTTTATAACTTCATAAAATTATATCAGTACTTGAACAGTTTTACGTAGGAGAGATAAGACTCGTATATCGTATACTTTACTTTTTAACAAGTTGTAATTATAAACTAAAGAAATTGATTCTGTCATGGCCATGACGATATATAAAATCCAAAATTTTCTGGGTACGCCAATGTCTCAGGGGCTTACTTTTGGATAGATACGGGAATCATGAACCCGAGGAATCTTAGTGATAGGCTTCTATCCCATGGAGTTAGTGATGCGCCCCCAGGATACCTTGGTGATTTGTACCTGTTTTCGATCCCCCTTGTCAACCAACTTTTATCTTTTCCCATTTTTTCAAATGTCTGGATCACAGTTTCATTTTGTTTGAGGCAGCATAGCCATTTCTGGCTCTTTCGCCATTAAACATCTCTCGCACCAACTTGGTTAAAAATTAATCTAAAAATTGTAAACAAACTTACTATTCGCCATGGAGAAAAATGGAAAATATCTGCATTTCAGATTTTCTCAAAATATGGTTCTTAGAATTTTCTGGTATATTTTCTTCGGTTGAAGTCAAATATCGGGGGGCCCTCGACGATTGCGGCGAAAACTTTACGACTTAAAAGAAAGGTCGCCAAAGTAGAGCTACGTAAGCAGTGACGTCATGAAGACATTGCAAATGAAAATCTAACCAAAATTTAGGATTACCGTAACCTAAATCGCCACATTTAAATTGTCATTGCACCCAAAAGTCGCTGATTGCCAAGAGGCACTCGATACCAGACATGGACCCTTTCTTCAATCTATTTTATCCATAGAACTTTTTTATTGTAAATTAAGAAAAGAGATTTCCTTTTATATGAATGTATTTTTTTTTTTTTTCGAAATAACTGCAAATTTTAAGTACGGCACAGTATTTGTATAAAAGTTAAAGATGTAAATTCAGTAAGCTTAATGCAAAATAAGGAAAAGTTCGATTTTTACTAACGCAAATACTGCAATTAACTGCCCGTTCATAATTACTCATGTTTATAAATGTGATTATCTTCACATAATCGAATACACATACAGATATTTCAATGTAGAAATGTAATTTCCATTGCTCTTAATTTAAAAAAAAATATATTTAATTGCGCATGAAATCTCACTTTTCCTTGAAGAAAATCTTGATTACCTTAATATAAAGAACCCTCTCTTAAAATAATTTTATCACTGTCGTGTTACTTCACTTGTCGATAAATATTTATTCCCGGGAATTTTTCAATGACACTTCATCTGTGGAAAATCCCCGAGGAAATGCCAACAGCTTAAGAATTCAAGGACTCGGTTGACCCGTGTGGTGACCGGGGATGACAGAATAGTCTCACTGTAGCTCATGCATGTCGTAAAAGGCGACTAAAATGGGTACCCAGCGTCTGGGGGTATAGCCGGGCACCCTGCCCCTGGGGATTATATCAGGGGATCTCAGGGACTTGCCTTCTTCAGGTAAGTATGGGCTTCACGAACCCGAGGTACCCTAGTGATCTTTTTCTTTTCCATGGGGTTTACTGTCTTTGGTAAACACGGGTGACGCACTCCCGGGATACCCTAGCGATCCTTCTCTATTTTCGACCCTCCTTCTTGTCAACCATTTTTACCTTTTTTTCAACTTCACGTCTAGACCACAGTTTAATCTTGTTTGGCGCAGCATAGCCATATCTGGCTCTTGCGCCAATAAACCTTACATTCACTCACTCACTCAAGGACTCGGTTGTTTAACAATTGAAAAGCTTTTCTTAATCATTCTGTCAATTTCGGTTGTCTTAAAAATTTCATCGTGAAGAGTTGATCTTTCAGTTTTGTATTAAAAACTTTCGTTACCAATACGCGGTGGATAAAAAAGCTTATCGATTTGGAACTTAACTTTCTCTTTGTGACGTTGGTCTATTCGTAATTTTCTCTTCGGGGACTTCATAATAATTTGAATTTAGTAAAATTGCAACGTTTTGCATTTTTTGGTTGATTGTTAAATGTGCGACGCTTATTAATATCTTTAACTTTTGCAAAAATTAGAATGCTTTATCGCATATATTGTCTAGAATGGGAATACTTCTTTGAAGCTTGAAAGCAAAGATGCCAGGCCAAATGCTTTAAGATGGAAAGACTTTTGTGTGAATAAAACAGGTTGATATACAGTAATTGACCATAGAGACAGTAATTGACCATTTTCAAACATATAAGAGCCATACCGAGAAATTTGGCTGCTTTGTAAGATAAGTGACACGCCGCATATGCAACTGTCAATGGAGACACAAACAAACAAAACACACAAACTGTCAATGGAGAAAAAGCCTTGGCACAGATTTTGCCCTTCAAATGTAGACACATGGTGTAAATTCAAAAAGGCGGAGTCTCTTGCAGAAATTTTACCATCAGTTTACCTCTTCTGGAGGCAAAGAGATCCATTTTCAGAGATTTATCAAATCCAGAACTATTAACGAAATGTCTGCATGGCTTTACCTAAAACTTAGATGAGAGTATGAAGTATAGTGATACGATCTAGCATACAAAAAACATACACAAAGCAGTCTTCTCGTTAGGTGCAAATGATGCTAAATATTCTTTTAATAAAAGCAGTTTTTCAAAATTGCAAAAATGTTAAGGAAATTGAACATTAAGCCTGGTGATTATACAATACAGACATTCAAATGCCCTGACAAGGCGAGGTTAAAACTAATTCCCAACAATCAAAGAATGATAGGGAAAAAGACTTAAAATTTCACCACCCTCTTTTCTTTTAAAGAAATGAGGATAATTTAGAGTACAGGGCAGAAATGTTCTGTGTGACGGTTAAATATTAGTACTTTAAAACTCGTTTTCTCATTGCGAATTTTTCCTGTATGATGTACTTTTTCTAAGAAACTAGTGTTCATAGGTGTGTAACTTTTGTAGGGAATGTTCGTAATACTTGCTAATATATCCCGGAATTAGCTTTCTTTTTTAAAAAAAACTTAAATGTATTGTTTACAAATTTATTTGTACGAAAAGTCGGTGTTCTCTGTATCTGAAACAATATTTTGTAAATAAGAAATTCAACATTTGACAAGCTCATTTCAGTATAATGAGGAAAATATATTTTATTTATGTAGTAAAATTCCAAACTTCTACCTGTAATAGATTTAAGAAAAAGTGTATCGAAAATTTTCAATTTACTTAATCGGTAAAGGAGGTTTCTACTACTCTTAAAAAAATTTTGAAATATCTGAATCACTAAAATACT